TGAAGCGGATAGAGCGTGGTGGTGTGGATGCAGCAGCTGACAGAGCATGAGATTACGTCTGAATTATGTCTAAAGCTCAGATTTGACTTTATTATTCAAGGATCAGACTGTGCTACGATACCATTACCCAAATTGCAGATCTGTGAAATTTGAGATGTGGATAAAAGTGAGAATATGGTTTAAATATGAAGAGAGCACGGGTCCGTCCGATGTATCAACAGTTCAGATCTGTGGGGAGCTTTTTCTTGGCACATCTTGAAACCCGTACGATTATCACCCACCTACCTCATTCCTACTCCCAGAAGGTTATCAACACATGTCACCAACCCTTTTCGTCTAAAAGCTGACCCTATCCAATCAGTTCTGTTCTCATCAGTGATGATAAAGTTGGCCTGCAAAATTATGGAAATCTAAATAAGTCATTTTTTGCTTAAAATAAGTTCTTTTTTCTTTTTTTAGATTTAGGAGTAAAATGAGACACTTTCCATTGGAGAAAGATGATTTACATTTGAAATAAGAAAAAAAAACAATTGCATTGTCTTATTTCAAGTGCATATTATCTAATTATCGTATTTTAAGAGTAAAAATACTCATTCTCTTGGCAAATTATATTTTTACCTACTCAAATTAAGGGTAAATACACTCAATTTAACAAATGTTTACTTATTTCTAGATTTTTAAGAAATGTATACTTATTTTTTAGATTGTACTAGGTTTCTGTATGCTCTCATACAGAAAACAACTAAATTATGCAGCTCTCTAATAAAAGTTCTCCATTCTCCAAACACGGGTATGTTACCTTGAACGAGCCTTTTTTCATCTGGATGAGGGCAGAGCAGGAACTGAGCATCTAGACTCATCTTCCTTTTTTTTAACCCGTTGCTTCTCTTTCAGTTGAAGTTAACTCCGGAGTACCTGCAGCTGATGAAGTACAAAGCCATCGCAGCCAACAGCAAGATCTACTTTGGAAACGACATACCTCAGATGTTTGTGGACTCTGGCACCGCAGGGAGCTCCATCAAGGCCTCTGCAGCCCTGGATGTTTTTAGCGATCAGCTTATAGATCTGGATTAATGAAGGAAGTAGTTGGACCCTCAGGACCGCCCAGGCAGGTGGAGTCTTAGCAGGCGGCAGGAGCCCACTGTCTAACACATAATCCGCTGCCCAGGGCCAGTATTTCTCAGGCATTTCATATTCTAAGCAGGGAATCCTACTGGAGGGATAAAATGAAAAGCTCAGCCCTAAGGAAAAGTCCTAGAAGGTTCTTTCTACTCTGTTCTGATTCAACTTTAAATATTAACAAAGAAAATAGGTTAAAACATTCATCAGTTTAAGGTAATTTAATGAAAAAAAAAATGACTTTAAAGATTTGTTCTGGCTCCTGAACTTCTGAGGATTTTACCCAGATCTAATGCACTTATATAATCAATGAATAACTATTGGTCGTTCTCTGTTTTAGCAGCTTCCTATTTAGTCTTGTTTTTCAGGTCTAGTTATTCAGTCTGTTAGTAAAACAAGCCGATTCTTTAAGTGTGACTCAGCCAGAAAAAGGCAGGGTTGGGGAGCCTATTAATTTCCTTCATGTGACTTCCTATTAAAACATTGAATAGCTTGTTTTTTGTTGCCCATATCTCAACATCTACCTAGGTATGCCACATTAATCTCATAAAATGCCCAGAAATACACCACAGTTTACTTTTTAGGGCTGATAATTGACTCGTTTTTGCCCAGAAACCAACTAGAATTAGTCTTAATCTGTAAAATGTCACCGTGTGTCTAAATGTCCCATAACTTTTAATTGATCCAGATGTAGTCTAACCCGACACAAGGCTTTAAAGTGAAACCGAGAGAACTCCAAACCCCAAGTACATGTGATCCTGATAAAAAAAAAAAAGAAAAAGTTGGCCAGAAAAGGATTTTTTCAATAATCAGTTCCGAGGAAAAAGTCTTGCTGAACCCTGTGTTTGTTTTTAAGAGCATTTTAGGAAATCCATGTCATTTTTGGAAGAAGTTGATGGTGTTACTGGTTCAAGGTTTATGCTGGTCAAGCAAATGTAACTGGACTTAGGCTTATCTTAGGTGATACCTGAAATGTTGACAAAGAACTATTCTTCACATGGTGAAAATTTGGGCTCCAAACCCATTAACTGCAACATAATAAAATGATGAAATGAGGAGTGACAAGTTTAGTACGGTATTAATCTGTTCAGAAACCCGGAATCAAAGAGAAATCCTTTTTATCCCTAAAAACAGCCTAGAGCCTCCCTGTTGCTCAGGGAGGTAGCCTGGTAACCATGTGAAAATTAGAAAATGTGGTTTTGTGAGCCAAAGCAAGGCCCCATCTGGACCCCTGAGGATGGTAAATCAGATTTTATTTTCTCCTGACCTGCTTGACAAATACCGGCCTTGGCCACAGCTGCAGACAGCTCAAGCTTGATGAATGTCCGGGGGATAGGTCCTCACTGCCTCATTTAAAAATCACAGCATTTTGTAGGATCGGCTTTTTCAGCTACTCATGTCAGTGGATGTGTCAAACTGCAGGGTCATTATTTTCACTATGTCTGCTGCACTTTTCCTGTTGAATGTTGTTTGTTGGTGGCTTTTTTCTGGGGGGGGGGGGGTTCCTTGGCCTAAAAAGCAGCCTTTTACTTTAGTTTGGGGTTTAAAAAAAAAAATCTGCTTTTGTTTTTCAACCATGTGATGAATGTTCCTCTGAGAGTGTGCTGTTAATCTCTGATTATAAATCTCTGGCTTCATTATTGGCCTAAAGAAGAAGGTAATGCAAACAAATTTAGAAACAGACTGAACTCCCTGTGGACAGAATTAATGCTTGAAAAGAAGCAAAAGGCAAAGTTGGCAGTGATGTCTTATGTTTTTCTTATTTTTTGTGATTGCTCTGTGCATTAGTTCCTTTGGAGATTAAGTTATTGACCAAATTACGTTTGTTTTGTTTTTATAAAGTACAACTGTTTATCCAGAGCTGAGATTCTTAGCTGCATTTAAAGCAATGGGAAATACTCTACTTTTCTCTCCAGCATTTTTGATGCACTGAAACAAACACTGACTCAGCAGAACGTTGTTTTTGCACTGCTTTCAACAATGGCTGTACAATCAAAATATTGTTCTCTGATTATCTGCTGTTTTAATCAGCGAGTAAATTGCTTTGTTAAAGCTCCTGTTAAGTACAGTAATATACATTTAGGATTTTTTTTACTGTTAGTATAAGCATGTGTGTTTGTTTTTAAACACAATAAAAAACAGAGAAGCTAGCAGCTGCTGTAAGACTTTAATTTAAAATGTTTAGCTTTATAAAATATGAAGGTTCTCAATATATAATATGAATATATAAAACACATGTCAGCAAAAATAACCTGAGGTTTAAAAATCAGGGAATACTTTAAATGCAAACTGTCTGGCTACATGAATTTGATTAAATTAGATCAGAAGAGTTGCGTTGCAATGTCGCTTTGAAGGTTTTCAGACTTCAGCCGACAATAAGGCTGTGGCTGGTGGACAACCAGCCACAGCTGTGTGTGGTCCTGGGGGTCAAAAGGAAACTAAAAGCATCAGAAGCACCTCATGCCTCTTTTCTTCAGTTAAAGTCAGTTATGAAGATTCAATGCTAAGACTGAAACCTTAAACCACCTCTGACTAAACACAAAAACCTCCCATTTGCAAAAAATAGAAAAAAAAAATCCCATCTGTGACCTTTAGAAATTGATTATGTGGACTGGGTGGACAAAATGGGACTTTTTGGGACACGTTCCTCTTTATTCTGTACAGCATAAAACCAGCACAGCATTAAAGCAAGAATTCTGCTTTCTAGCTATAAATCTCAGATATTATTTCTTGTGTTTTGTGTAGAAAGATAATCAAAACCCTTCAAAATGGAAAAAAAGGTTTTTGCATGGCTTAAGCCTGAAATGACAGTAAACGGGTTTATGCTAAAAATCTTGTAGTTGAATGAAACTATTCTGTAAAGGGAAAACCAAAAGTCCTAAACCACAAAAGACAGATTTAGTTAAATATTTGGGTTTCTCATTCAGGTTGTCTTTTTTTTAAATAAATAAATTTCATCCCCTGAAAATGTTAAGACAAAACAAAAGACATCTGTAAGGGAGCAACTAATTTTACACGACAATTCTATTCATGTATTCTTACACTGAAAACAAATCTAGCCGGTGGTTGTTTTAGTTGGTGGATTGCTTTTTTCAGCTGTCTAAGACTTCAGTGGTTGAGTAATCAGTCTTTTCTGCTTTACTTCAGCTCAACCCAGTGGGGTTTTTTTTTGGTTTTGGATCAAGTTCTGAAGAAGTGCCGGCGTCTGGTGAAACCGACTCTGTTGCTTTGGACACATTTGAATCTTTGCCTGCTGTGACTGAATCTATTTAAGGATTTAAAAATGTTTATATAAAAATATAAGAGACATCTAATTATTTTGAATTTGGAGTTCAGAAATAAAAAAACCCACACAGATTATTTCTGGGAAGTAGCCAAATGTTTTCTTTGGCCTAAATGTCTTGAGAAAACGTAGTTGTGATGATGAGTCAGCAGATCCTGCAGTGATCCTAAATATTTACTCACCATAATTCTATGTAAATATCATTTTGGCCTCCCCCATTGAGGAGCAGTTTCACAATTCATCATTTATTATGTAAACCTGGATTACATGACATCTGTATTTAATTTACTTTTCCACCAGTTGTTTCTCAAGGAGGCATTTTAAAAGGGGTTGGGGGCAGTTATTTCTAGTAAATTCAACCCCATAAATGCAAAATGGTGTAATCATTTCTCACCTTTAGAAGAATAGGTCTATTTATTTTCCTGAAACTTGCGACATTCGGGATTCTAATAGTGAATTCTCTGTAATGGCCTAAAACTAATGATCTAATCTTTATTCATGGTCTGAATTCCCCTACCTTTCCAGCCACCAGCTGAGGTGGTGCCATTGCTCAATAAGACAGACGTGTTGAATTATAGCATGTGGGCCCGGGGCCCCTCCTACCCTACTATAGTGTGGGGTGACTCAGGATCCTCCAGCAGAAGCCTGTTCAGAGCGGAGGAAGGCGAAGAAAAAACTCTCAATGAGAAGAAAAGCCAGGCGCGCAGGGGATGTTATGTAATGTGACAGACATCAGGATGACTGACCCCATCCAGGAGCTCGGGGATCCACATGCGCCCATCCTGCAGGGTCTGTGGGAGAGCGTGAGAGCAGGGCAGCGTCACATCCAGCTTTCTCCTTACCTGGCCGCATCCTGCGCCTTCCTGACTCACCTGGCGCTCTGTGCGCCTTTCTTCTTTCTGGACGCGCTGGGGCGCGTATGTCAGCGCGTCCGCTCGTGGAGGATCGCGGCAGGCTCCGGGCCCCCGCCGTCCCTCCAGCGGTGGTTCCAGTGTTTCTGCAGGGTCCTCTTCAAATACACCACAGCGGTGCTGCCAGCAGCGGCGCTCCTCCAGCTGCTGAGAAGCCCCAACTTTCCGGAGCTGGCCCCTACATGCTGGCAGCTGTTTGTGGAGGTGCTGGCATGCTTCCTGCTGTTTGACACGCTCTTCTTTATATGGCACTACTCTATGCACAGGTGAGAAATATGTTTATTCTGTTAAAGAGTCTACTTTAAAATGCAGTTATGCAAATTGTAAACATATCAGCAGATAAACACATGGATGCATGTTTTTAAAATAAATAAAACGCTGCTGCACCATTACCAGATCTAATATGTTTAAGCATTGTAAGGGAAGCATTGTGTGGACAGTCTTCCAACATTAAATGCTGGAAGAGAATTGGCCCAAGGTCCTGTTGGACTTACAGGCAGGCTACAGTGATCAGATGCTGATTTATGGTGTTAGGAACCTTAATACTAACGTTACTAGTTACTTCTCCAAAAACATAATAGTAACTTAGCTACTGTATAATAATTTACGTAACCTTGCAGTATTTTTCTAATCTAAACTAAGAATTTGGATAACTTTCCAGTTATTGGAACTTTAAATTGAACTGTAACTAATTTATGTAAAACGTTTGATATTATTCAATGAACAGATTGATGGGAAAAAAAATGTAAACATTGTATATTCTGCAGCATTTTGGTGAGTGTGTTTGGTAAAGGCTGCAATATATTGATGTCAATAGGATTATGTTTTATGTTTATAATGAAATAACAAAGCAAATTACATGCTAGAATTTATAGTTTTGCACACAGAGAGGCTTTAAGTGGCTATGAAATAGATATGAATCTGAAAAAAAAAATGCAACTTGAAAAACTTAATCATAGTTTAAAAAGTACGGAGCAAAACATTCCCATGACATACTAATTCGAGCCCAAACTTGTTCTCATGATGTACTTATTTATGGCCCCAATATACAGTGCACTCAACATTCTATATATACCCCTCAAAGAGTGCTCCTTCTGTAGGAACAGGAACAAACCAACATGATAGACAAAGATAGTCTGATCGAGTTTTATTTTAGGTGTATGATAAGCTGTATAGAGATTCTGATCAGCCTGGCTTTGCAAGGTTTTCTCATCACAGCCAGGTATGAATGATGCGCTGATGTGTGCAGGACTGCTCAGTTAAATAACACCACCTGGCACCTGTTATCTATGTTGGTCTCGAACATTTCAGGTTTCAGCTCAAATTCCATTTAAAGGAGGGAGGGATGCAAATGATAATTGATAATGTGGTAAGTGCAGAGATCCACAATGAAGTAGAAAACAATTTTTAACAGGGAGGCAGATGTGATCATTACCTAGAGAAGATGCAGGCACATGAGAAAGAGAAGAGAGAGGACCCTCTCTTTTAGAGTGAACAGTTTTAAATGACAGAATAAAACCTATCACCTAAGATGACTTGGAGCCTCATAAACCTCAGAGTGATTTCTAGATCATTAACTGAAGCTGGGTTTCATCAAATCTCAAGGGGTCAGAGATTATTTCCATCTGGAGTGGCGCTTTACGCACGCAAGGCTTGTTACGCATTATGCAAAATCCAGCAACTGATTTTTAATATCAGTTTGTTTCTGTTCTCCTATAACCTTTGTCTTCATCATTCCCAGCAGCAGTGATGTCTGGCTCTGACTGGATCTTCTGTGTTACTTGGCAGCACAGGGGGCCTCAAAGTGCACTTTTACACATGTTCAATGTGTAAAAGTGTAAAATTCTGGTGAACTGTAAAGTGCCTTGAGATGGCATGTGTTGTGAATTGGTGCTATATAAATAAACTGAGTAAAAAGTAAAAAAAAAACAATCCAGTGGACTTTGTTTTCCAAGTTTGAAGACGTTTCGCTCCCCATCCAGGAAGCTTTCTCGATTCAAAATGTCTGGAGTAGCATGGAGTTCTATGCTCATAGAGGGACCCAAACAAAAGCCTTTTCTAAGCCATAACAAGGCTTTTGTTATGGAAAAATATCTTGAAAAACAATGTCCAGTGGTTTGTTTTTTTTTTTTTTACTTTTTTGGAATGACTATGACCTGGATGAGAATCTTCACCAGCATGATTTGGAAGTCGAATATCTAGTACTTGGTCAGTGAAATCATAATGAGCCACTCAACAGGTATTTGTGGAATAAAATGTAGTCAGTGCTGCACTGCATTAAGGATGAACATCATGTTCAGCAATAATAATAATAATAGTTTTCTCTCTGCGTGACTAAAAATCCCAAAAGTCAGGGTGTGATTGAGTGCTGAGCTGATGCAGCTGGATAAATTAAACTTCTTATTTCATCCTTTCATTTAGAAAGAGCCCACTGTTCTTGTATTAATTAATTAGTGAATGTCAGAGTTTGTGGAGCTTAATTGAACCTAAGAGGAAACAAGGTTCTGAAACAAAGAGAAATATCAGATCGGCCTGTTTTTCAGTGTAGTCCAGTTTCTCTGACTTTTTTTTTTTTTTTTACCAGAGGTCCGCCTCTTGCCAAGTAACTAAATCAAATTAAATTTGGTACTTCAAGATCATGTGCGGGTCTTAGCTATAGGTTTAAGTCACAGTTTTTTGTTTATGATCAAAGATAGAAAAGTTATTAACAGTGAGCCCATTATTAGCATAACCATTGCGTTATTGGCATGGGAGCTGGCTCGGTGTTTCCGAGCTGCAGCTGCTTTTTGTGTCTCTGCTTCTGTCTCCTCAGCCTCGGCAGATGGACGCTCACACTGAGCCTGGTTCTGCTGGAGGTTTCTTCCTGTTAAAAGGGAGTTTTTCCTCTCCACTGTCGCTACAAGCATGCTTAGTGTGAGGGATTGTATTTGAGTCAATGAGTCAATGCAATCAACTGGTTTTCCTTAGATAGAGAACTTTGAATCAATTTGACTGTATGATCTGATGTGTAAAAGTGTAAAATTCTGGTGAACTGTAAAGTGCCTTGAGATGACTTGTGTTGTGAATTGGCACTATATAAATAAACTGAATTGAACGGAATTCTATGTTTTGCTAATAACACACTGCTCTCATTGAGGAGAGTGTCATTTTTTTGTTTCCTTACAATTATTACATATGAAAAAAAAATATCAAAAGAGAAAAAAAAATCTGATTCAAACAAAATAGAGCACCATACCCACCTTTCATTTGTACAAGAAAAACATATAAACAGGTGTAGCGGTACCTCCACTTGGTTATTGTGATGATTTAGTAGATAATTTTGTGATTATTGAAATATAATTATTGTTGAAATTAATGCTTTTTCTCCATGGACCACAAAGTTACTGATCCAAACATGTTTGTGTTCTTTATCAGGGTTCCATGGTTGTATCGGACCGTCCATCAAATGCACCACCAGCACCACGTCCCTTTCGCATTGGCAGCTCAGGATGCTAGCTCAGCTGAGCTACTGTCGCTGCTACTGCTTGCTTTGGGCAGTGCCTGGATGCTGGGCTGCCACCCACTCAGTGAAGTACTGTTCCATTTCCTCAACAGCTGGATGGCAGTGGAGGACCACTGTGGCTACAACCTGCCCTGGGCTCTGCACAAGCTGCTTCCCTGTATGGGAGGAGCCCCCTATCACCATGCCCATCACAAGAAGCAGAATACCAACTTTGCCCCCTACTTTACTCACTGGGATTTTCTTTTTGGTACCTACTGTGCATCAGTGCAACATTCAGAATGAGACAACTTTGTGGTTTTATAAAGTGAACCCTCAAGTCAAAGACATCCATCCATCCATCTTCTATCACTTGTCCATCATGGTCACAGGGGGCTGATACCTAAGATGAGGTATACCCTGAACAGCTCACTAGTCCATCACATGGATATATAACCACGCACACACACACTTGCATCTAAAGTCATTTTAGAGATGGCAATCAACCCAATAGTCCTGTTGTTGCAGTGCTGCCCAGAAAGAAACTGAGTATGTTGAAGAGGGCATGTGGATTTCATGCAGAAAGACCTCAGGCCACAAACTGAACCTAGGAGCTTTCTGCAAGGCAATGGTGCCACAAACTGTACCACCCTGAAGGCCAAGTTGCAGAAAATGAAGGACAAATCAATAAAGCTGGGATAACCTAACTGTTAACCATACAAGAGTTTGTTATATGTACATACGTTTGTAATAGATAAGAGTGTGGCTACTGTGATATGAAGAGTATTTTGAATGGCTTGTTGGCATGTTTGCGGGGGGAAGACTGTATGAGAACGTCGGGAAGAAGAGCAAAACATTTTAATGGGGTGAAAAAAAACTATAATCACCGACATGAGTATGAAATTTTGTAATTGGGGATCAAATCAGTAGATGCATTTACTGAAAATATATATAAAATAAAAGCATTTTAATTGAATCATCTACAACTAAAATACTACTCCCATTAGTGTTTCCTCTACTCTAAAACATGGCAGTATCTTACGCTGGTGAAGATTGTCAGTCATCCAGTCATTAGTCATTCAAAGTAAAAAATAAATAAAAAATCACCAGGACTTTGTTTTCCAAGTTTGAAGATGTTTCGCTTCCCACCTCGGAAGCTATTTTAATTCAAAATGTCAGAATTAGCGTTGAGTTACAAGCTTTATCGAGTAGCCCAAACAAAGCCTTGTTTTGGCTTAGACAACATACAAATTTAACCAGAAGAATGGGTCCACCCCTTAGGAATGGGGAGTCGATTCAGGTCTTTGTTAGCCTGCAATACCCAATACTGGTTTTATGCCTCTGAAAGGGGGTCATTAGGGTCATTGTTGGCATGGCGATGGGGGTTGAGATGATAACTGGAAGAAATAATTTCTACTGCTGCATTGTAGGTTTTTCTCTCTTAACATAGATGGCTTCCTTCACACCCCTTTCAAACCACCTGTCTTCTTTGTCCAAAATCTAAACATTCTGGTCCTCACAAAAATGTCCTTTGTCCATAAAGTGTAGATGGAAACCGAGTCAGGTAGCTCTCCTGTGTTGAGCCATGCGTCTGTGGAGAGGTTGTTTGGTTTCTCCAATATAAAGATCAGAGCATTCCTCACTGCACTGAACTGCATACATCACTCCGCTCATCTTAGGTACCTAGCAGTACTTTCTGTTACTGTCCTGAATATTAAATAAAATAATGTTATATTATAAAAATTGAGATCTTTCCACAGATTAAAAGAGATAATTATTGTCCACAAATCTAAATTTAGATTAATGGACGCAAAGTTGATAATTTTATAACTAATGTTTAATAACTTGGAGGAATCAGCAATGTGTTTTGTTTTTTTGTTTTGTTTTTTTGTACTAAATAAATAAAGGTCGTTTAAACTCTGCCGAGGTATTTCTGTTTTTTTATTCGGAGCAAAAATTTACAGTAATTAAGATTACTGAAAATAGGATTAAATAGACCTTAAATCTAGTGAGAAAATCAAAGCTGATGTTTCAAACTTTCTTTCGTTTATCAGAAAGGATCCTCAGCTGCCCAACACAAGGGGGCGCCACCTCCTTGTAGATGGAACATTTAAATCAACAAAATAACATTTGTTGATTGTGTCACACAGGGATACTGCCCCTCTGTTGGTGTCCATACTGCTCCCTGAAAAAAAGGCTCCAATCAGAATCTGCTATATTAATTTTGTCTTAGTGTGTTTCTTTTATTACTGCTACTTTTATGTACCAATTTATTTAGTGTTTAATGATTGATAATTTGTATCTCATAATTGTGTATAAAAATGATGGGTGTTGTAGATACATTTGATATTGTAAATATGTTTTCACCTCCTCTTTAGCACATTTACTATTTCAAAAAACCCTCAGAGCATAAAAATATTTATTTTGTGAATCCATTCAAAATTTTGCCATTTGCCTCCCTGTTGATCTATTGAGAGAATTGTTTTTGAGTTTTCTAGTTAGGTTAGGCTTCAAACTTTCCTTTTTGCTTATAGTTAGATTTGCTCACGTTGTCCTGAATTAAGCAAAACATTTCATAGCATTTTAACCCTTTCAAATCAGATTATTTTATAGATTACCCAGTGTTATGAATTTTTGCATTTAAAGTATTTCCTTTTTCAATACTATGAATTTATCTCCATTAATTCTCTTATGGTCTAATTATTAATACCTACTATTTTAACTTATTGAATCACACTGAGCCTGGTTCTGCTGGAGATATCTTTCTGTTAAAAGGGAGTTTTTCTCTCAACTGTCGCTACAAGCATACTTAGTTTAAGGGATTGCTGAAGTGTCAATGAGTGGATGCAATCAGCTGGTTCTTTGATAGAAAACTTTGAAAATTTGGCGCTTTATAAATAAACTGAATTGAAATTGAATTGAAAACTTAACTTCGATCCATAAAAGGAGTAACTGGGGTTCTTTTTAAAAGAGAATACATTAAAATAAAGCAACTTTTTCTCAGTTCAAGTTTCATTTCAAGGGATCAATTTTTAAGGGTCCCAGTGGGTAAACCTTTCAATTTGAGTAGCTTTGCTACTCGACTAACATCGTGGAGGGTCTGACACTTTCACTCCTCTGAAGATTTCTTCTCTTTTCTTCAAATTGACTTTAAAATGACATATGTATACTAGAGGTAAGAAGAAGAGAATCTGATAACCAAACTAGAACACTCAAAACTATTTTCTCCATAGATCTATGGTGGTTCCTATAGTGTGATCAAAGTATAAGAAGGTAAACTAGACTTTGTGTTTCCTTTTTTTTATAAGTTTAGTTTTTTTCGACTGCAGTCAGTAATCTAGGTGCACTGGGCTTCTCTGCTGTCTGATCTTTACATGAAGCCAGTTCCTTGTGATTCGGTCACTTCTGCTCTTTTAGGTCAGAAAAGGATTAGAATGAAGATTGGCCAAGGACAGTTTTTTTGCACCTCATCATTGAAGCTACGCCAAAAATATAAAGAACTCTGCATTATGCCAGCAATGAGGAAAACTGAGTCCTGTAAATGGGAACAAAGGAAAATAATGATGGAATGTCAAGCATTTCTTAAATAGCAACATGACGTCCAAACAGTTGGAAAGAGCCTTTCAACACAAACACAACAAATACATTTTTACCTAAAAGATACAAAATAATAGAATTTGACAAGGAATGAGAATAACTGAGATAATAGGGTTTCTGTAAAAGAGTCTAACATTCAAATTCAATACATCTGGTAGGAGGCACATCATGAGTTAGGAGGAAGAGATATGTAATGGGGAGCACACACACATCACACATTTTGAGGGGAAAAAAAAAGACAGTGTGAAAATACAAAAAGAGCTTAAATGACCTCTTTTTGGTAGTTATTTACACAACCCTATTCAGGTCTCAGACGTGCCATGGGCAAACATTCCTGGGCAATATTTATCTGGATTTACACTTAAACATTAGTGTCTCCTTTTATAAATTAAGTTCTGAACAACAGAAAAACTGCAGCTTTTAAATAAAAAAGAAACAACCATTGAACTAAGCTAATCATAATTCTTGGAAGAATGTTCCTTCAATTTAGAATCCCTATTGGCCCTGAAGTTATTACTTGTTATGAAGAAACAAATGTTCCTGTGGCGTTCCTAAGAGCTGCATAATTTTGCCAAACCTAAACAGAACATCTGTATTTAATGACCAATACTTTAAACAAGCTTAAAGTAATTGTGCAACAACCAATCCAAGCTTGGTTGAAAGGTGCAGGAGCATTTGGAGGTAATTTTGCATGTGAACATGAAGCAGGGATTGAGCAAACTGTGCTTTTCCTGGGAAAAAAAAAAGTTTCTAGAACATAGTGAGAGATGAGTTGGTGGGTGGCGGAGTTGCCAAGAGATGAAACGATAAAAATCACGACCCAAAGCAGGAAACAATCAGGCCCTATTACAGACCCCACGTCAGAGTTAGGGCGAGTCTTGCAGCTTTGGGTGGCACCAAAAACACACGTTCACAGCGAGAGGCACGTCGATCCCCAGGAGCAGGCGTCATGATGTCAGGCAGAGAATTTCAGGATTTTGAAGAACTTTTTAATTGTCTGCTCAATAACTTCTGCTTGAATTGTTTACCTTTTGTGTGCTCCTGAACATATTGTGTGTGTGAACATATTGGTTGTAACCTGCAGTGTAACAACGGACTGACAGCCTCGAATGTTTTTGACACAGACACCCTCTTCAAAACAAGAACTTGAAAAAGCCCAGAGCAAGCCTAAGCCATCCTTATCAGCAGACCACATGCTGCAAACTTCCCATTTCAACATCTCCCCACTATGGCTGCCATCAGAAGACAAAGGCCAGATTCATATTTCTTCTAGATTTCTGTAAATATCCAATTAGAGAGCCTGAAATAGATGAGCCCTCTTCTTTTTACACTCACAAAGTTTGTGAAACTGTAGTCATTAACCTTTCTCGATAGCCTTTGCTTATATAGATTTTTTTCCAACTGTTTTCATTCAGAAACAAAAAAACATGCACTTGTCTTTATTGGACCTTTGCCAGTTTACAGTTGCAGAGATGTAGCATCCAGTCAGGACATGAATTGTTAGTATAGAGTACCATTAAAACCTCAAACTCCAATGATTTACAGTATTAAAAGTAAGTAAATATAATTTTATAAATATATATATACATATATATATATTTTTTTATTTTATTTTATTTTTTGATGGGTCCACCAAGAAAATTTTGCAACAAATTTTTGCAAACTTTCAAGCAATTCTTCTATGAACAAAAACTTGAATAATATTAGTCCACAGTTTAGGGTTTGGCTCACAGGTTGGAATTATTGAACAAAAAGAATAAAATATATGGGTAGGAATGCAAAGAAAGTTAGGGATAGACTAAAACCGATTAGTAACTCCAAACTCCTGCGTGCTGGTCCTGGTAGCTATCTTTTTCTGTGCATGTGTACTTTCAGGCATATATATATGAGGTGAGCTACAGTTTCAGACAGTCATTGAAGCTCATCTTTCTCACCATGGTTCTTTGAAAATGGTCGAGGATCATAATGAAAAAAGTGTCTACGAAGTGTATGAAAAGAAAAGAAAGGCCTCAGAAGAGGCAGATATATCTTGGAATTATGCACAGTGAAGGAGGCGTTAAGTGACCATCTGTCCAAATGGTAGATTAATTGAAGTTGCTATAAACTATATAGTCCACACTCTATATAGTGATTGAGGGATTTAGGGTTTAGGGCAGAATTTCAGGCACAGTAAGATTGTATGAGCCATGAGAACAGCAACTTTTAAACAGGGTGTGCACGAGGAGAAGTTAGCTTTCAAGAAATTCGCAAAAACCCTCCAGAATACCTTTAAGGCAGTTGTTATTTTAAAGTTGTCTTTAAAATTATTGTCCCAATGAGTGATGCTGATTCACATAATCCATAGGGGAAAAGAAGCTACTATTAGGGTGCCTATCATATGATTTATGACAGATGAGTGAAAATCTTGTTAATAAAAAAATGAAAATTCACCAAAACCCAAGGGAATCTATTTAAGCTCACAACCCATGACTTCACTGCCAAAATAAAATGATGTTAAGGCTTGGATAAAGTTTGTTGCATAAGTTTTGAACATGTCAGGGATACTTTAGAATAATATAGGACAACCCAGTCCAGGTCACTGTCTTTTCATTAATCTTCTCTCTGGCTGATGTAGTCTGTGTTAATATTGACATGAACTGTTTATCGAACCACTTCACTGTATCCTAATGACGCATATCTTAAGAAATTAATATACTCCTGATCAAAACCTTAAGATTGTTTATAAAATTGTAAGCTTTTGCAATGTGCCCTATTGGATCTTGAGAGGGTTTTTCGTAACTATTCAAAACACTAAAATAAGAAAGAGAAGCAAGAGAAAAAATCTTTTAAGCACCCAATGTTTTTTTAAACAACAATCTGAAATATTCAATTTATCAGCCTGTCAACAATTCAAGACCAACAATTCCACCTGGAAATATGTCATTTGTTCCATATCCTCCTCATAACTGTCTACAGCCTGCCAGTGTCGGTGAAGACAACTGGCCCCCGTTTTCTTCATTAGAATGCCTTCCCCTTATTTCCCATGGTTTCTTTGTTTGTGTGTTGAACATGAACTATGACCTTAGAGCTGATATCGGTGGTATGAATGATCTGAATGTCAGCAATGCCTTCTGTGTCTGCTCCAACAGCTTCATCCTGATATAATGGCAAAGACAGCTGACAGTTCAAGACACTCCGAGTGATGCTAGAGAAAGTAAAATAAAAATATTTCTGTCACAGTAAACATCAAAACCTGATGTCACTAAAAATGTTAACTCCTAAAACTATATGAAATATGCATCTTAATATTACACCTTATATTATTGAGACAGTGACAAACAGTGATTGGAGTACTTTTTTATTTATTTTACAACTGTTAACATTTCTCTTCCCAACAAAATTTAACTTGTGCTGCAATTGCATTGTCATAAGCATAAAATCTCTATTCTCACTTACAAATATACATATGTAATCATTTACTCTGTTGTAGAAATTAATAAATTAGAACAATAAATAGTATTTTATTTGACACAAGCAGCAGACATGACAAATGGCTTATAACAAAGGGAAGTATTTCTTTTAGGAAATTTATATTGCGTGTTCGGATTCTCTGCCACATTTATCTCAGATTTAAAGTCAGTTTTTGATCAAAATGTTTTCAAAAAGTGATCGATTACCTAATTAAATGTAGAATTGCCAGAGTAACACAAGTCAGTTAGATGAAAAATTTGCTTTGAAACTCGGACAATCCCTGGACAACTTCTCCACTTTCCAATGTCACTACTGCATCAAAGGTTACCCTGAATGGCCTCAAGTCCACCAGGCCTTAGTGGTGGTGCACATATTTTTCAACCACCAACACCTTGCTATCACAGTGATTCCTGGGAGTGGAAAATAGCCATGTGAATTGGGAAGCAGGATCAAGATAAACAACCACTTCCAACCGGACCTCTGCACAGAGCTCACGTATCAGACAGTAGCTGGGCCTGTAGAGTTCACGGCTTGTCAGGTTGCCAGAGACAGGGCATTTCACTTTACCAAGGCACATGAAGTGCTGATTAGTGTTTGCATTGCATGGGGAGGCCAGAGATAAGTAGAGAGGAAGACAGATGTCAGGGGAGCAAAGAGGAAGGAGGATGACTGACCCACTCATTCCCACCAGTCTGTGCTGATTGAAAAAAAGGCTCAGTTGATTCAGAAATCCTTTTTCAGTATTAGCAACTAAACTGACTGTAGATCTGTTGCACAGCTCTACAACTAGTGACTAATATTCATGCCTCTCCACTTCAAAATTAAGTACTTGTTTTATTTTATGGTTAAAAAATACAAGTTTGCCCTCTTGCAGGGCACAAATGTTCATCAGTTTTAGATGAGCACTTCTGGTCTCACAGTTTAAATCTTGAGATTCCTTTCACCGTCTCTTTCAATTCTCAGAGATTTTGGCTCAATTTCTTGCTGTTTGTGTTTCGTATCTTCCTGTTGTGGTAAGACTTTTCAGAGTATTTGAATGTCTGTCTGCATGGACTATCTGCAGCCGCACTCTGCTACCACCATTCCCTCATAATTGTACTTGTAGGTGACCACGCCTTTTTCATCCAGGTAGAGCAGGGAGATGGGCTCTAATTTGGTGGGCACGCAACAGGCTCGTGCAGCCTTCTGGGGACTGTTGATGTTTACCAGAGTCTGGATTATGGCATGTTTGGTAGGTGTGACATGCTTTGTCAATGGGTATGAACAAATGCCAGCACATTCAAAGGCGTCATAACCACTGGGTGCAAGGATCCAGCTATCCCAGCCAATGTCCTTAAACTCTACATACAAAGATTGCTTCTTGCAGTGATTTCCTTTGGCATTACGGCGAATGCGGGATGTCGTGTCATAGATAAGGTTGGAACGCATCTGGATAAGATCTTCCTCATCTGGTTCAGCCTCATTCCTATCCTCACCCCAAAGCCCACCACTTTCTGTCCCATAGTCATTTTGAAGAACGGCACTCGAGGTCTCGTGGTCAATCATCTCGTTCAACTCACGCTTGTCATCACGGTGATCACTGCTCTGATCATCAGAAAAAACAATTAGGAGGGGTTTATGTTTTTCCTCTGGGCTATTTTCAATCCTCATGTCATCTTCAGCTGGACCCTCATCTTTGCTGGTCCCTTTCATACTCTCAGCATTTTCTTCATTAGCAATGCTGGAAATGTGCACCTCCAATCGGTGTGTTGTTGCTCCATCAGATTTACTCCAACGCTGCACGGCAGCAGTTAAGTCAAAAGCTTCCCAGCCATTATCTGTCCCAAACACCTGACGTGAAGCCAGTTCCAAAACATCAGTCCGCTTGCCTATCTCTGCAAACTCGTCTCCCCTCATTAGCTTTTCGGCTGTCATGTTAAACCAGTCATGCGATGTCAGTTCATAGATGGTGACCTTACGGTCAACACCGGCGTAGAGGTGTCGGTCAGTCTGTACAAGGGTGTATAGGCGTAGTTCAGCTGCCGTGATGCGCTCGTGATGGGGGATTGACACATTGAAGAGCAGCGGGTGGCGTCTCACCCCTCCAACACCCATATCACTTGGATTTGAATCTAGGCAAAGAAAAGGCAATGGAGGTTAGAGCTCTGTGTTGCATCTGTTTTTTATTTTATTTTTTTTTTTACAAAATTTCAGCTGAACTGCGAAATATAGGCAGATATCCAAAAGCAAAATACATTTACCTTCTATCTTATTCAAACTAAGCACCAAACTTGCACAAAAATAATATTGGCAATTACTAAAGTTAAAGTTTTGTACACAAGTAGAAAAAATTAACATTGGTTCAAGCTTGGAAAAATAGCAAAAATTTAAGAAACTACTTCTCCCTAAGTTTCACTATGGAAATCCCTTTGATTTTTAACACAAACTAGCACATATATATATATATATTTAATTCCAACCAATCATGTAGTGAGACCTTACCTTCATTTTTGAAACTGCGTATGATGTTGGCTGTGGGCATGGCAGTATGGTCATTAGCAAAGCGGTTGTACAGCTCCATCATGTACTCAGGTGGATCCTCTCGTGCACTTCCAGGTTGCAGGGATGAAGGACCCATAACGGACAGATTAAATGTCCTCAGAAACTGCTCTTTCAGACTCTCCAGTAGATTTTGCATCTTCGTGCTATCATCTTGCTCCAACAGCATTGGATCCACCACCCCTCCATGCCCGTCACCCAGTCCTGGGGCAGGACGATATCTTTGATGAGCGTTAGAGATGGGGCTGCTGTTTCCAAACAGAGGCTTCTGTAGCAGTAGGAAGGAAAACAGCAAGAACGTCTTGGATGTGCAAATGGTTCCCAGTTGAGAGACCCAAATGCTCGCCATGGGAGAAAAAAATCTGCAGCAATTTAGTCTATGCCAATGGCCTAGAGATCTGCTCAAGCAAAAAGGCCAGAAAATAATTCTGTATCTTCCAAGAGTTTAATCAAGGTGGAATTAGTTTATCTACAGCCTGAACAATGCACCAGCTGAAGAGACATTGACCCTTGCATTGACCAACTTGAACCGCTCTTTAGGGATGTGTTCTCCTAGTGCTCCTCTCCAGATGTCGCAATAATTATTCTCATGCGCACCTTTTGAAGTTCCTTGCAACAGGACGGTGGTTGCGTTGACAGGGTGGCCAAGGCTTGCCTTTGTCTATCCGACTCATCTCTGTTGCGTCCTCTTCTCTGTCAGACTCTGTCTGTGCTTGCCTCTCTTCCTTGCTCTGGGTTTCTGTCCCTTATCTGTGATATGGTGGGCTTCACATTGGACAGTGCTTATGGTCTCTTTGTGGTGTGTGTGTGTGTGTGTGTGTGTGCCTGCCTGCTCTCTAACTTTGTGTGATGCAGTAGCCTGTGTGTTATCTCACAGTTTCCTTAATGAGGATTTTGTAAACACCGTCCTTTAGCCTCGTCCTTGTGGAAGGGCTATTTTGTTTTAGTGGGCGTTCCGGGGATAATACCCCTCATTTGTTTATTTTCTTTGTAAATGATGGAGTTCTCTGAGCGGCTATCCTGGCTACATTGAGCATTTCGTTTTGACAAAATACTCTCTGGGCCTGTTGATATCGTTGAATGTAGCAGGATGCTTCAATCAGACAACGCTGATCGTAATGAAATAAAAAGGCAATGAGGTGTAGGGCCTTCATAGTAGCTAACGGCATTCAACTTTTATCTGAGCAGAGCTGATTTACAAACTCCACAGTAAACAGTAACTCAGAAAAGCTACAAAAACATAATCAGTGTTATCTTTTATAAAGTACCCAACTCCTTTTGGATACCATTTTTGTAACCAACTGAAAACTTTAGTGCAAATACCCTCTTTTATTGAAAAATAAGTTAAGCAAACTTTTTTTTACATAAGTATAATCTGATTTATTTATTTTTTTGTTAATACATAAGAGTAGATACAACCATTGATGTGATGACTGAAGCCTTGAAGGAAGAACTAATTTGATAACTTTTTGGTTAAAAAGTCTTTATTTTAGGTTCTAAAAGTAGAAAAGGAGGAAAATCTTTTAGTTATCAGACTCCTCTCCTGTGGAACCAACTACCAGCTTTAGTTCATGAGGCGACACCCTGTCTACTTATAAGGCTAGGCTTAAAACTTTCTTTTTGATAAGGCCGATAGAGTTGCACAGGTTATGCTGAACCAGTGGCGGCCAATAGACGGCACTAGGGCGCCTCCCCACCAGCCCAATGACCTCGATTGAGACATAATAAAAAAAAAACGAATTAAAATTTAATTATAAAATTAAAATATTTCGAAATATATTGATAAATATTTTTTAGAAATGCAAGATAAATGTTTAGTCTTTAATGATGTGTAAATCGTCATTTCACTTTTCATCGGATTGGTGACGTATTTCTGCCCTCAGGCGCAAAAATGTTTGCCGATTGACTTTTGTTAAAAGTTGTATATGCGCAGCAGCTCCTCTGCAATATAGAAGTATAGGAGATCTCTTGGCGCACCAAAGTCATGCCCTGAGGTGACAGGAACTCTTGTCACAGACAACTGCTATGATTGACAGGTCAAGTCGCGGGAGGGACACAAACTTACCAAGAGAAGCTGGAGGTGAAACTGTTTTGACCTGATCAACTAAACATCAAAATTAATCAGCAGTCCAAAAGACAGGACCTTTATTCGGGACCTGGTTTACAAGGCTTGGCTAACTGCATGTAGTGAGGCTAACGATTTTATTCTGCTGCCTTGACAACCTGCCCTTTTCACACTGCAGGATCTGACCCAGCATGGATAAAGACAGGTAGAACTTTTTCAGACAAGAAAAAGAAGCATGAACAATCTGGGATACACAAGGAAAATAATATAATATAATGTACTTTTTCTAGATATTTGTTAATTTGCATAGTTGCTCTTAAATAAACACATTTACAGAAAATAAATAGTTTCTCGATATTAAAAAAGTATAAAGCTGTCTAACAGCTTCTATGATTAAACTGCTACATTATTTTTTTTAGGTTTGTGATACAACATTGGACCATGCAAAACACAGATTTGTCTTCACAAAGCCTCAGAAGGGCAAGATTTATGTACAAAAAGTAAACCTGTACATAATATTATGTTTTGTTTTTATAGTGTTTTTATAATGGTTTTTGTTGTTGGCATATACTGGTGTGATAATTTAATAAATGTTTGATTGGTTTTTGGTATACATCTAATTTTAATTTATAGCCCCCCCGGAGAAAACTCCATGAGTCGCCACTGTCCTAAGCTATCTTTATGTTACTGTAGGCTTTGGCTGCTGGAGGACATAGGGACCACTTCTAAGTCTGCTCCATTCAATCTCCATACTGTACCCCAATGCAGTATTTGTTAGTTTAACCCTTTATGACCTTTCTGCTTTTCTCATAATAGTTTCTTCTGGGCTGGTCCTGTTTTCTGTGGGACCATCCTAGAGGGAAATATCAGCTGGACTGTGGCCATCAACACAATCAATTATATATATCTTTTTTCTTTTACCTTGTTCTGTTTAGTGGTAGCAGAACAGAAATCTAAATACCATGCTATGCTGAACAAATGTGCTTTGCCAAGGCAGGCTTTGTTGGTGAGAAGCCCCCCTTGATTACCCAAAACTGCTTTATTTAATAATTTTGTTACCAAATTTAAATGTGTCCTTTAATGCCGAACCTGACAGAGGGACAGAAGAAAGAAAATCAGTGGAAAGGAGAAAGATCTGTTAGACAGAAAGGGAAAGAGGAAAAAGAAAAGGAAAAAAGCAAAGACATCAAAACCATACCACCAGCTGCTCTGGCTGTAAAAAAGAAACTGATTCTTGTGGGTAATCCAGGTGGAGAACCAATAGGAGCTCCTGCAAAAAAGACAAAAGGAAAACAAAAGTAAAAGTAACAAAAGCAAAAACACTATAGCGGGGACATTAGTGGAATTCTCAGAATTGTACAGCAACTGTGCAAAAGCTTATGGAGGCAGATGTCTTAGTAACTGACTGTGTGTGTGCGAAAAAGGCATTGAGAATTAGCCTTAGCTAAAATGTTGTAGTGTGTGACATGATGCATGAAACATACTTGTCCCTATCAAAAATGAGAATAAGCAGCCCAGGTTTTCCAGATTGTACTCAGCTTTGGTGCCACATTCAATTATGGATGATAGAGTTGGGCCAGTTTTTCAGTACTTAGTAATGTTTCTCTGCTAGACATAGCTAGGGGCTCAGATGTTGCTGTGGCTGGTTGTGTGCTCTCTTTTATCCTTTTTAGCATCCCTTATAGCTCATTTGCTTAACAGTTTCTCTCCTAAACTAATCTTACCTATCAAGCTAGTTTACTGGTAACATATCTCACACAGAAAGTATTT